CACATGTTGTCCACAGGGAGCGCAAAAGGCGGGGATCATGAGCTGGACCCTTTTCTCAGCCACACATGCTTTGTGTGCCCCAGCCTGGGCCTCAGGATGCCAATCAAGCACTCTCATTGAGCTGAATCTCCAGGTCTCCATACTCAATTTAAAGATACATATTTTATTCTATGTTAAAATCTTTTTCAACATAACAGGAGTCCTCTTAGAATTACATTTGAGGTAAAAAGTTCTTTTTCTACAAAACAAACACACTTGTGTTACAAGCCAGAGGAAGAGAGTGCAAAGGGTTTGCCAGAATAGGTTGAATCCAGAGACTTCGAGGGGCGAAATCCATTGACGTGAGTCTGGATAGGGCAGCCTGAGGGGAAGGAAACGGGCGATGTCTGCAATGACAGACAGTGCCAGGTTTTAGTGAGCTCCTCACAAGCTTTGAAACAAGAGGCATCTTCTGGAGTAGTCATTTGAGTTTTACATTTTTTGAGATGGGAAAAAGCCAAAATTGTCATATTTTCCATACAACTTCTCTTTTATCTAAAACTCAAATTTGAACATTTCTTATCTTTAAACCCATGTTAGATTCTTCTGTGATAAAACACACAAGATAAACGATTTAAAAGGGAAACCTGGGTGTCAGCTTCTTGATTCAGAGGCTTCTGCCCTTGGCTTCTTGACTTCATTGTGGGCCTACAGCAAGCTGTTCCATCTGGTTACAGTCCACAGCTGGAGCGCTCCATTCACTTCCTGGTTTCCAGGGCCTCAGTACCCGGTGAAGGGCATGTTTCCTAATTTCCTTCCACTGGGACCCACCTCTTAAGGTACCCCTATTTTCCAATGGGGCCCCAGGCCGGCAGCCAAGCGTCTGACATGTCTTTGAGGAGACAAGCCTAAATTCTGTAGGTGTATGCAAAGAATTTAGAATCTCTTTACTGTCTTTTAAGCCTCACCACTGGATCCTTCCTACTTTACACTGTAATTTTAACTAATTTTTTTACAACTGTCTGAAAGAACCATGTTTCATTCATGCTGAAGGTTAGTGAATAGAAGGCACTCAATAAGTGATTATATTGTTATTCTACCATGCTTGAAGAGTTTTAAATATAGGGTACTATCTTGGTGTGTATTACCATTATTACTAATTTAGCATGGTTGGAAAGTTACTATTATCATCTGCTGACTCTGTTGCAGGATTATTGCTGGCTCCTGTTTACTTCTTGCACAAAGAAGGGAAAGAAAAAGGTTATGAAATGCAAAATATTGAAGTTTTAGGTTGAAAAATCTTAAACCTATGGCAGAAATGTATTTAAGCACACTTTAATTTGTTTTCACTCTGTTCTTTCAAATTATTGTATAAAAGTACGTTAGCTGACATTGTTGGTTTTTAGTTTGTATTTATCTTAAATGTCTCTAAATAAACAGTTTCAGCAACAAGGAAAGACTTCCCTAAATATTGTCTGCTTCCTTGTGGCCATAACATTTTCTCAGCTATAACTGAGCAGTATCTCCTTCCCTGGCAGTCTCCAATTTATATACAGACTCTCATGTGAAGTCCTGTCCAATCAGGAAATAATGTTTGCTCATGTCTGGGATGAATTTTTAGAAACAGCTGGTGAGCTTCCTTCATGGTACATCCCCTCAACAGGCACAGTTGCAACTGAAGTGTGTATGGATGGCATTTTGGGGTTGCCTGCATGTAGCATCAGTGAAATGAGCAGTGAACTTTTAGAACCCAACTTTCTCTGAGTTCTTTCATTGCAAAGGGATTGATAAAGTAGGTATGGATAAAAGATGGGACACATAATGCATTTTAAGGTATTTTTAGGTATCAAAAGACACACTTCCATTGAAACTCTGGAGAAACAAACAAAAAAGACCTAAAATTGTATAGAAAAAAAAATTGTAAGTTACCTGAGGCTATGTTCATTAATATTGATTGATTCTTGTTCTTAGGCATCTGAAAGAAAATCATGAATTAATCTTTGAGTTAGAGAAGCTTTTTTGTTTCAGGTATTACATGCTTGTGTTGTTTAAAATGAGGTTAATCAGTGGCATAAGCTTTAAAAATGTTTTCAATAAGTAATTTTAGAGGGAAGGTGAAAATGGGCCATGCATGTATAATCACTGATTAGAAAAAATTTTGAAGTAATTCACTGAGAAATTTGAAATCTGGCCAAAATAAATCAATTACCTCCCTTCACAGTTACTTAGTTGTGTGTGTGTGTGTGTGTATGTGTGTGTGTGACAAAATTTATACCTCTAATAAACAATACACAACCCAAATAAAATTATCACTAGGGACAATTTTTAAAGTAAACCAGTATGCTTCAGCTAATTGTGAATTTTCTCATTGTTAGTATATTTTTATTGGCTCTGTATGTTGATCTTAGAAATTAAGATTAAACCTCTTAAATAGCATAGAAAAGCAGGAAATCAGATATAACTGGATTTAGTGTTTAGCTATCACTTTAACATTTTGAGATTTAAAATTAAGAATAATTATTAGTGTGCTGTATAAACTGAAAATCATAGCATTGGAGGTCAGACATTTCCATATGTATTAATCTTTTACTAATACAGGGGATTAGAATTAATAGGATAGGAAGTAGACATGGCAATGTTTCTGAATTGGGAAGGGAGAAGTCAGGACGTGTGTCTAAGCAGAACACTTGTGAACATGAAAGTCTCATGTGGAGAAAGAAGCCAAAAGGTTGTAGGAATAAATTTGGATAAGCCTCATTGCTGCTAAGAGACTTAGTTATCTCCTATGTACAGAGTAGTAAGAAAATAGCTACTCGCAGTTTGCCCTAAGAATTACAGATGGTACACTTTGAGTTGTAGAAATGCAGTAGACTCTGCCGCCCTGTGTGTAGCTCGTGGTATTAGAGCCCATTTAGAGCTTTTGTTATCAGGAAAGACTAGTGATAGAACTTCACTTTCAATGAACCATTGTCATTTTTGCATCCTTTTAGTTCTTTGGGGACCTAGTTTAATTTGGACTATTTGACTTTTAAATATAGTATTCAGACACTCAGAATGATAACTGAGATTTTTAAAAATTATTTTTCCTTTTTGGTGGAAGGAAAGGCCTGGCAGTTCTCTTGGAAAGACTAAATGGATCCCAGATCTATGGAGATCATTTCTGCTTTGTAACAACTGGCTACTTCAACGAGCTTTTCAAAGTTTTATTGTCATAGTGGTTTCCAAAAAAATAGACTATTCCTTCCAAATCTCTTCCCAAAAATGGATGACAGCCTACCCCTTCTCTAGAAACCACCACATTTATTCCCTCGTGCATTTGAGAGCACATAGAAGAAGAACTTGAGTTGTTGGGTGCAAAATATTTACTTTTTATTGTATAATTCATTGGGTGGATTGTTAGCAATTTGTCCTCTAAGAGATGATTTTAAACAAAATGCTGTGACAATACTGTAACGATTTTGACCACAAAGAAGAGTTACAGTTGTTGATCCACACAGACCTCTCTGTGCTCCTGAGATGAGACCATGCGGTCCGTACTGGTGCAAGGGAAGTTTGAAAACTGTTTCTACATTCTTGTCCAAAAATTTGATCTACCTTGTTTTCACCAGTTGGTGACTGGTTTCCATGGAAATGGGAATAAGCATTCCTAGTTTTAGCTTCTCAGCTGCCCCATGCCAGCTGAAAGCTGTAAATGCCATTTGGTTAACAGCGAGGATCCAGAATTCTTCCACTTTTAAGTGGTGGAGGGACAGGAAAAGAAAATGTTTGCCAAGTCATTTCACTTTTCTCCCTTTGAAAAGAGCACTGTTTTGTGATTGAGCTATTGACGGACGATTATTAGACACGAAGTCTTACAGCCTCTTTCCTGGCTAATCAGCTTAAGTTGCTTTTCTGCCCTGCAGAGTTCCTTAGCCCATTGCAATTTCAGTGTCTTCTCAGGTCTCCACTATGTGACCCCCTGGGTGGGCACTGAAAGGGGAAAATGGTCAGAATGCTAGGATGAAAGGTCCTGTCGTTTGCATGATGTGTGACCTAAAGGAAATGTAATCTGTTGAAAAGGAAGCACAGCACAAGGCAATCTGGAAAAATTCTCACTTCTGAGAGGATGTTACTTAATTTGCCATATTCCATTTCTGAGATTGTCATTTATAACTAATACATTTTCGGGAACTAGTCCATAGAAAGGAAAACAAAGAATGCTATAAATAAATGCTTTTACATACAAGGTTATAGCATAAAAGGTTAAGCGATAACAATGCAATTGAGAGAGGTATTTTTTTGTTTTGTCTCATGACTGAATATTTGAATCCATGTGAGTACCAAGTTAAACTTTGGTAGTATTAATGCATAATGATTTCTTTTATATTTATATTGTACAGATACTAGATTGAGAAAACATGTGACTCTGGTTCCTAAGTATCACCCAGTGCAGTTCTGTGAACCCCTACCTCCTCTTTTGCCCCTAAGTTGACTTTTAGTGAAGAAAACCAGACACAGTGTCGCCACTGGCTGCCTCTGTGTCTCTAAGTGTGGTCTCACACCTAGCCAATGCAAGGAGCGTCTCAGCTAAGGAAACAAGATGCTTACCGCTAGACTTAAGAAACTAGAGAACTTCAGGGAAAAGCTTACTGAGGCTAAGTGCGCAGCTCAGGGCCTGGCATTTTCTGTTCTCACGTTGTATTCCTGGGAGAACAGCACTTTGAAAATTGTTTTGGTGCAAACAACTTGTGCCTTTTAGGGACTTGAGAAAGAAGCTTTAAGATACGGAAAGGAACTTGCACACAGTGTACATTGGCGGTCAAAATCGCAAGCCAGTTCCGGTCATAAGAGTCACGCAGCCTGTGTTACCCTTCCTGCCCTCTGAAGACAAGGTAGTGCATCCTCATTTCCTCCCTTGCACCACCACCTACCTCATTTGCGAGGCCATGCTGGAAAGATTCATTACTGCAATAAATAGGGATCAAGGGGAGAAAACATTAGACATGAATCCGTTTAAATTAAGGCCAGAGTCTTGTTATGAATACAGCAAATGATGCTTTATTTTAAACAATAAAAGTAAAATTATGAAACTACATGTAGTTTATGATCTAACAGAGCATTCAGCGAGTCATTCCTACATCAAACAAAAATGAATCATGTTTCAAATTGTAGTTTTCTGTAACTATGAAATTTGAATTTTAGTGGAGCCATAAACAGACTCAGTTTGTAAAAATCTTTATAGGTTGCTCTAACGACCATTTGGAATCATTTTATTGACAAATCATTCTGATTTAAAGGCACTGTCGCTGTCCTTGTTGATTTTCCTTCCCTTTTACTGATCATGTACTTCGGAATCTTCTCCAGCTTGGCTTCGAATGTGATTAAAGATATTCTCAAAAGTCTTCATTCATGCATGAAATCCCATTTCTTTTGAAAATTCATTAAGCTATTGATTTGCTTGCTTTACTTTTCATTCTTTGTATTTTATGTTCACCAAAGAAATAAAATCATGTAGATATTTTAAATAATAATCACATATTTTAACCCTCATTCCTTACAAAGTAAGACTCACATCTCCCAAAATGTTTTGACAATTTACTTAGGATCTGAAAGCACTTGCAAACAGAATGAAGTCATACATTTATAACACCACATTTCTGTACCAGCCAGTCATTAACAGATTTTGAGTAAAACAAGTATTTTTATCTGTTTTAGCAAAGCAAGTGGAACCACACATATTAAAGTGAATGTCAACCTGTGAATTTTTTTATTATCTAGAATTTTATGACCAGTAAAATTCATTGAAACTATATCATGTACTGTCCCCTTCCCCTACTTTTGAATGCTTAATGATAGATACATTCTTCAAATCCTGCTTGTTACTTGATAAATATTTACTGAATAAATGATTCAGAAAAGGAAATTAACTGTAGTTTGGGTCATGGGTATCATATCATTAATTCAGGGTAGGTAGATCATTGTAATAATTATAAAATTGGAATTTACCTATAGGCAGGACTACTGGAAAAGTTGAAGTATTGTCTGTTCAGGATACATGCTAGCATCCTGGTGTCTTATTTTGCTGTTGTTGAAATATTTTAGTACACATTTGGAGAAGAGAAAGCTACTGTATTTTGAAAGAAATAGACCACAAAAAATCAAAATTAAAATTTTATACAGGTCATTTCTTCCATTATCTTTATAGATTTTTTTTCTAATTTCTTAGCATATACACTCAGTGTACACTCCATATTTAATGCTTTACTGAGTTCTAATTATGAAATTTTCTTTAATTATGATAATGTGAAATTATAGGAAAATCAATTCCAGTGTAAGGAAAAGAAGTTGCTTAGATTGCATACCAAGCATTTTTACAGGGCCCAGTCCCAACCCAGAACAACCAAAGCAGAAATTCTTGTAACACTTGGCACATAAGCCTTGATGAGCGTACACTATAACACTTGGTAATTATTTAATGTCTTGCAAAACCCCTGTCACTGGTAATAGGTTCAATTACCGTAGTTGGTCAAGCCTTTAGAGGTTGATGTCCAGAGGTTCCTCTCTGTCTATGATGCAAACGTGATACAAGCAATGTCTGCTATGTTTCCTTAAAAAGAACAATCAGGATTCTGCAACCATCCTGTGCTTTTCTGCTGTCCTGCTGCCTTCTCAAAATTAGCCATACTGGTGGGTTTGACAGTTCCTTTTCCTTAGAAGATGCATATTTGCGAGAACATTATTTCTCCCAGTAGCCTGTGAATACAGCTTCCTGGGCCCTGCAAGGAAGGGCCCACTCCTCCTCCAGTGTCTCCTCCCAGATGCTCGAAGCTGATACCTCTCATCAGGTAGTTACAGCCCTGGTACAGGTCTCCTAGTTCATTATTAGCTACCAGCTGGGACTCGTTTTTCCTTTAAGCCATATTGCTCATTAGCTGACAGCCCGCCTTTACCAGCTATCAAGGAGAACAGAGCTAGAAAGTTCAACCTGCATAACTTTTCCACAAATAAGGAGAAAAGATTTTGTTAGCCCTTTACTCAGAATCTTCCCTGTGAAACTAGGAGCACCACAACCATAGATTATTCAATTTTGCATGTTCCCAGCTTCAAAAATGCTTGGGACACAGCATGTGAAGTGTTTGAACTTATAAAAGGAAGGGAAAAAAGGCAAGGAAGGAGGAAATAATGTTAACTAAAATAATTTTTTCTCAAGTACTTTAGTTATTTCCACCTAGTGGAGTATTCCTAGTAGAGTTCATGTCTTACTTACAAACAGTTTATGTTTCTGTTCTCGTGGGCTGAAGGCAGGACCTAGTCTCAGTACAGCAGACCGATCTCTAGAGGGCAAGAGGCATCACATTAGACTTTCTCCAGCCCCAGGGAAGAGTTTCACTGTACAGGTCCAGCAGGCGATACAGCTCAACAGCACAGTGCTTGCCTGGCAAGCGCAAGGTTGTGAGTTCAGTTCCTGGTACCAAAAAACAAAACAAAACAACAATTATACAGGTCTAACAGATCTACGTTTGTGAAGTATGTGTGTAGCAGTAGTAGTAATAGTAGTAATTATAATATTACTGAAGATTGAAATCAGGGCCTTCACACCGAGATACATCCTCAGCCTATTTTACAGGGCCTTCACACTGAGATACATCCTCAGCCTATTTTATTGTTTGTTTTGTTTGTCTGAGACGTGGTCTTGTTAAATTCTTACGTTGTTTACTCTGGTCTGGAACCTGCCACCTTCCTACCTCAGTTCCCCAGACTGCTGTAACTAGATATGCACCACCATAACCAGCTAACATTTCTGAACTTCTAAGAATTTGAAAACAGACCTAAAGTGAATTAGGAGACAGGAGTGATCTCCGTCTATTGATAGTCAAGGTGTAAAGCAAACAATTTCATAGAGCTCTGTTTATGGTAGAAAATGTAGTTTAGCTGTTTCTCAATTCCAAGTACTTGGAGTGAAAACTCTCAGCTCTACAGTTAAGAAGACTAACCAGGACCCTCTGATAAGAGGTTAAAGAACATGAAGAGCAGGAATCTGAACTCCTACTGGGCCCAGAGGGGAGGGAATACCATCATGGATGCATTGGAGAACACAGCCAAGCCTAGGAAATCTCATTTCACAGAAACGTATTTAAGGATCACATGGAAAGCTAATCATTTAAAGCCAAACAGGAGCCCAAAAGCATGACAGTTATAAATGTGTATTAACCTCTAAGAAAGCAAGAAAATGTGCCCCGCTCCCAGTTATAAATGTGTATTAACCTCTAGAGAAGCTAAGAAAATGTGCTCCACTCATGATTAGTATACCCCATCAACAGGGCCCCAGTACCCTATTTTCTTTGTTGTTGATACCTAAGATAAGGGTGATATAGTGATTACCTTCAATTACTGGGACAAAGTACCTGACCTACACTATTTAAAGAAGAAAAGATTTGTTGTGGTTCATGGTTTCAGAGGCTCCCTTCTGTGTTCTGCTGATTTTCTTGCTGGCCTGAGGTGAGGCAGATGTCCCTGCAGGGGCAGGAGGCACTGGAGCATTCCTGCTGGTTTCATGGCAGCCTGGAAGCAGAGAGCAAGAAGAGAATATAGATCCACCCTCCAAAGTCACGCCCCATTACCCTACTTCCCTCAATGAGGCCAGGCCCAGTCTACTAATAGCCCATTCAGCTATGAACTCTTCAGTGGGATTAATCCACTTGGTGAGATTAGCACCATCCAAATCCAGTCATGCTTTCTAGGTATCTCTTTATTCAGCCAAGTCCACAATGTAGGTGAACCATCACAGGTGGGCTAAATGGTGAGTGAGGGTGTTGTTACCTGCCATGGTCAACATACACATGCCCACAGGGATGCCTGTACTTAGCCATTCCATGCAGTGTGGTACTGGAGAAAGAGGCAGAAGTACGGGAAACTCCTGCATTTTCTAATCAATCAAAGGTTGCTTTTTTTTTTTCTTTGTATTGGAAATCAAATTCACGACCTCACACTTGCCGGGCAGGTGCTGTACTGCTGAGCTCTATCCCAGCCCTTTGTTGTTTTAGACGTGGGCATGGATAAGCTATTTTTGTAGGTTGTGGTGGCTGGAAATAAGGGAAAAAATATCAAAGATCTAGGTGAGGAGGATAAAACAGGGACAAGATTCAAGCCGTAAGAAAACACTTAACGCAGTACAAACTCACCTGCATTTTATTTTGATTTTATTTTTTTATTGTCAATATTATTTGTTCTCTGAAATATCCTTAAATCAGAGCTAATCCTACAAATAACTACCAGTTCTTGACACCTACAATAATTATTTTTAATATATTTTTAAAATGATTATCAATTTGCACAAAGTTACAAAATATCATAGAAGTTCTCTGTGCCCCTTGCCTGGCTTTCCTGAATGGTAACTTATGTAATCAATATCAAAACCAAGAAATTGATAATAATACAATCTATAGACTTTGCTCAGATTTTTACCAGTTTTTACATGCACTGAGTGTATCTGACAGTGTTTTTAACCCCCTCTGGAAATAATTATTTTTGCTTTCTTTAAAAAAAAATCTTACTAGTTGATATATTTGATTCCATTTGATATAATACTACTTATCAGTAGTGATCTATTATTATTTAATACTATAAAATATGCTTTTCAGTTTCTTTTCTGGCCTACAACATGGTATCTGTCAGACATTAGAGCAGTTAACAATTTTTATTAATGCCTTAAAATATTGGATATAATTTCTGACAGCCAGAGGAGGATTGATTATATCTATTGCTATGTATAAAAACTTTACAATTTGAAAGTTTATGCTTTAATACTCTTTTAGTGTTAGGCTATAGGAAGGAGGTCTCTGGATATAATCTTGTGTTATTTTATGTATCAATTTATTTGTTATTTTGAACAAATTTTCCAGCCTCACTTCCCTCCATAGTAAAAAACAGTAGCTATGAGACTTCATGCACTTTGTATACCTATATTCACTTCAGATGCTGTTATCTTAACTGATTCACAAACATGATCACTGTAAAATAGATGGTTTCTTTTTTCTCCCATTTTAATTTTTTTCCCCCTCAAGTATCTTTCTTGAGCTTTGGTAACATTTTCACTCATCACATGATGATAATCTTTTTTCAACTACTTTCCATGCCATTTCTCAGATTCTCCTGCTTCTGGCTATCAAGCCCAGTATTGTTTTGTGGAGGGTCTGCCAAAGATTTTCTTTCTAGTAGGTTCTACTGTCAAATATCCTGCCCTTAGTGCTTGTAAAAGAATAACCAACTCTGTTCCTCAGAGCACCAACGTTATCACAGAGTAGGGATGCAGACAGAGGAGCCCTGATATCTCAGTAGCCTCTCCAAGCCTTCACGCCCTGACCCTGTAGGTCCTGCCGGAGTGGTGGGGAGTTGTCATAGGAGAATGCGGGGGACATTAGTCTAGTTCACCTGCTGCCACATTCTGTGCACTACAATCACCAACCGACAGTGAATTTTCTCATTTGTGAAATAGGAGAAGAGCTGTGCTTTACTTACCTCACAGGGTGGAGGCACGGGTCCAGTGAGGCTGCAGTACTCTGAGAAATGGGCAGCTGTCCTAATGCAAGCTGGTATTGTAATCATGCATGACACGGCAGCCACCAAGATGGTTTTTGAACCACACATTGAAAACATCTCTGTATCTCGCTGTCATCTCCTCCTGTGAGAAGGCTCTTGATACAGATGCAGGGTTTCATTCCAATTCATACCAAATCAAAGCCTGCAAGAAAGAAGGGAGAATGAGCAGCCCAGCTGTCAGAACAGCGGCAGTGGCGGGTAGGCAGAGTCCACGAACCGGCAGAGACAGTTGTTCCCAATGGAGAGGAAATGGGGAGCAGTCTTTCTCCCACTTCCACTGCTTGATTCCCTACAGGTGTCAGTTTGGCGTCCAAGGTGGGCGCAGAACAGCAGCTGCAGGAGGTGCCCTCTCTGCCTGTGCCCTGCAGTCTCTGCTTCACTGCTGAGCTTTTAATCCCTGAAGGCAAATAACATAAATTCCCAGCCTCAGTAATCCACACAGAGGGAAAGAAGTTTGGTGAGCAGTGTGACCGAGGACGAGGAGGAAGCAGAAGGAGTGCACGTTGTGTTACCTCGCAAGACACAGTAGATCTTGGGCTGGCCCTGCACCCTCGCTTTGTCTAATGTGTGTTCCCAGAAGTACGTAGACATCAGCAGGCACCCTCTGGCCTCACTTCCTGCCTATTCCGAGTCAAACTTCTCCAGCCCTTTGATTACAATGGTTTACTGCAGCAACCCTGATGAGAATTGGTAGGAAAAACCAACAGTCTTTTTAGACTGGCATGATCTTTAATTCCAGATGCTCTTGAGAAGCTAAAATGGTATATTGAAGTAAAAATTACATAATACAATGTTTCACACGTACTGGGGCCCTGGCACTGTCCCAGAAGCAGAGCAGTAAGAAAGAAAACCTTGAAATTCAAGGTTTGTTCACAACTTCTTTCCCTCTTTTTTTTCTTCCTTCCTTCCTTCCTTCCTTCCTTGCTTCTTTTCTTCCTTCCTTTTTTTCTTCCTTCCTTCCTTCCTTCCTTCCTTCCTTCCTTCCTTCCTTTCTTGTCTTTTTGAGACTTATTGTCCTTCACTATGCAGTTCAGGCTGACCTTGAACTCATTTTGTAGCCCAGGCTGGCCTTGAACTCATAGTGATCATTCTGCCTCAGCCTCCTGAGTACTGGCATTACAGACATGTGCCACCATGTCCTACTTCCTCTTTATTTTGGATATTGTTCTTTTTCTCTTGTCTACAAATCCATTTGTCTAGAAATCCATTATAATTTACATAATTGAGTTATCTTCTGAAAGTGAGAAAATATTTCTTGGTAATATTCAGAGCATGCAATCAGTGAATACTGTTCTAGGGAGTAGCTTTTAGTTTGGCTTGGTTAGTAAACTTCACACCTAGGTGCATATAAGTAAGCACATAATATATTGTTTTCAGGACTGAAATCTAATCATATTTTCTTACTATGCTGAAAATACTCTAATAGTATTTTTGTATTCTAGTCTCTAAACTGAAATATAAATTTTTATTTTTGACTTTTGTATTTAACTCTAAGGATGGACACCTTGCTGCCCATACTTGTTCTTTAAGACTAGAAAAACCTATACTTGAACTTTAAGCAGGTCATGATGACACCTGGTGTTCTGTAGTTCATCTTAATTTCTTGTTGGAATATGACAGAGTCCAGCTAACAAGTAAAGTAAAAAAAAAAAAAAAAAAAGAATAGTACTTTTGTGGGTGACAATCATTGTCATTTTAAAAATGTAGACGGTTTAAATGTAGTTGAACTGGTCACTTAGACCCTCAATTACACTATGTGGCAATATATTATTTAAGTGATATTTTAAAATGTGAGTTTGCAGCAGACTGAAGGTTCAGCTCACACTGCTTCACTGTCTCACAAAAGAAAAATGACCACTACATCATGATGTAGAGCCATGTACAGATATCTTTGCAAAGTAAACTTTGTAGAGAAATAATCACTCTGTTTTCACTCTGGGGCATTCATTATGCATTAATGATGCCTATTATATGTGCAGGGCTGTATTAACCTTCAGTAATACAGAACTAAGGTAGATTAATTTTTGAGTAATATGGTAAAATATATATTCAATTAAATCTCTCCTGCTATAGTACATATAAAACTTTTACAAAAGTATTAACTAAGAACTTTTTAGTGCATGATTAAGCTGGTGGGGCACTTGAGAAAATTTCTCTGAGAAAGCTCAGTGCTGTAAGAAGCTCTAAATGTCTTTTCCAAGGTCTAGTCAGCATCCAGGTGTATTTTAAAGCCCAGATAAAACAAGGCACAAAACTTTAGTCTAATGATTTGAGGGAGAACTTCTACATAAAGCAGAATTCATAAAGTGCAATCTATATGTAGTGAGACAGCCTGCATACAAGATAGGACAAGGAGGAGAAATAAGCAAATAAATATCCATTAAGAACTACTAACAGCACTTAAGAGATTTGCACCTGTAATTCATATGACTTACATAGTTCAAGTTTTAATTTAGTTGAACAGTTCCTTGTTGATTTACCACCAAATATATGGCAGAAGCCAATTTAAATCTCTGAAAATATGTTTTCCACGCTAGCTTGAAAGAACTTAAAAAGATAAAAGCTCAAGCAGTATCACCTCCTAAATGGAAAATTCATAAACTACAGAGGAAAATGGCACTATGAATATAATCTAGCAGCAAGCCTAATAATAGAATGACATTTATACATTCTAAAATTGTTGAGTATAATTTACATGGAAAAAGAAATGAAAGTTGCAAAAAGAGATTATCAAATTAACCAGGTTTTTATAAAATAAAAAACTTTAAAAAAAATAATTGAAGTAAATAATAAATCAGTTGAATATCAGATTAATATTGGTGCAGGTAGGATAAGTGAAATACAGAATTAAGTTATTCAAAATGCAGCCAGAAACTTTTTAAAATTAAGAAAATTGTACCTGTTTGTAGTACATAATGATTACATATATCATGGTAGGTTCGTATATATATATGACATTTTTTAAATCTTTTAAACCCCTTGTCTCCCTCCTTCCTTGTGCCTCATGGACCCTTCCCACATAGCAGTGCATGATGATCCCATTCTTTGTAGGGGCTTCCTGTATGTACGCACAGAGAGAAATTAAGGCAGTTCCTGACCCTAACCCTTAAGGCAGTACCATCAGTGTAAATAAATGCTTCGTTGGGATTCTGAAAGGAGAGATGAGAGGAGTGATGGTAACAGTTTCAAAGATAGTGGTGAAAAAATCTGAGGAATTAGACATTAAACTAAAAGTTCAGAAATTCGGAGACAGAATTTTTGAAATCCATGCATACAACATCTTAATGAACCTACACAATAGAAAACTCAAAGTCAGATTTGAAAAGTGTCCGGAAAAACAGATTTTTCCCAATTGCTAAGCTTTCACTGGGAGTAATGGGAGCCAGAAGACTGTGGAATGGTATCTTTCAAGTGACACTAGATTGTGATTCTTTAACCAATGAAATTATTTTCAAGAACAGTAAAATAATATGTTTCTGAAGCTACCAAAAAAGGCTTTTGACTAACAAAAGGTTGTGATGGTTGTGTTACAGAATGTTCAGTGTTCTCAATAGAATGTAGAAGGGCTAGGGATTTAGCTCAATGGCATAAGTGCCTGCCTGGCAAGCACCAGGTTGTGAGTTCAATCCCCAGTAACAAAAAAATAAAAATAAACAGTGAAAAGTACTGAAATATATACAATTCAAATATTACCTAGACACCTAACTTCTTGTAGTATAAGAACCACAAAATGTTGCTACGTATTCTTAAAGGTTTTTTTCACTAGCAAGTTTAATAAATCAATTCTTTTATTTTATATTGAGGCACGGTATTGCTATGTAGTTCAGGCTAACTTTGAACTCACTGTGTAGCCCAGGCTGACCTTGAACTCATAACAGTCCTTCTGCCTTAGCTTCCCGAGTGCTGGGATTACAGGCATGAGCCACTGTTCCAGCTCAGTAAATCAATTCTAAACAGAACAAAGTTGGTAGAACTAAAAAAAAAAATTAACAGATTCATGGCTTAGCAAATAAGTTCGATATAGTGTACACACAATAAACAGTTGAAAAAAGCAATTAGAAAATATACATCATTTTCCAGCAAATAGAAATTTATATATATCCACTAATCATTATCATTGTCATTTTGTAAGTTTCACTAATTCAAAGAGTTGGCTCCTATGCATTGTGTTGTTTTGTCATAACATAATCAAGTTATCAGTTGATACAAACTACTACCCATAAAAATAAAAAATAGAAACAAAATACTACCCACATGTATTTGAAAATATCAAAACATAAAGTGGACCTGAATTTAAAAATAGAAGCCCTAGGTCAGTGCCCTTCATGGGCATGGGCAGCAAGGAAGAGAACAAGAAGCCAGCCACTTCCTGTGAGTCGGCACCACATGCAGCCGAGGAGATGAGAACCAGATGCCAGCCTCTCCAGAATCCCCTGCCTCGTGAGCTACCTGCTGATCTGGAGAAACACAGGCTGAGATAATAGCTACTGAAGTGAAATACAACTTGATGCTTGTAGGGTTCAGTGTTTCATTCACTTTGCAGGCCAAAAACTGGCAATCTGATCATCCCAGAGGAAGCAGTGTGCAGTGTAATATCTCTGGGATCTCCTTCTGAAGGTGGGAGCCTTTGTTAATTCCCTAGTACCGTGTTTTAAAGGCCTGTGTCATTTTAATTGTTTTTTTTTTTTTTTTTTGGTTTATCCTGCTTTGTCTTGTTTGATTTTATTATATCTGATGGCATGGGCAGCTGATTCAACAACATATATTATGGTAGCTATTTTGGATTTACTATTATTTTGTTTTGAAGTCCTGTATTGTATTCATTGTTTTGTTTTTACTGGTTCTATTCTGTTCTATTTTGTTTGATTTTCTTATGTCTCATGGTATGGACAGCTCTTTTGAAGACAACAAAAGGTGTTATGGTAGCCATTGTTGATTTCCTATTTTGCTTTGAAATCATGTACCACTTACACTGTTTTGTTTTGATTGGCTTTTTTTTTTCTCTTTAAAATTAAAAATTACAAAAAATGGAAGCCCTAGTTGTCTAGTACTGTTTGGCATTAATTAATAACAGATCCATGAAGAGTGAGAATAGTGGCCTCACTAAGGAAGTTAGAAGTTTAGCTAAAAATAACTTACATCATGTGGTCATGTGCAGTAAGAGCCTGAGGAAGAGTCACAGTAATTGTTAAGCTCGGGGAGAAATTATTACTGGAGGGTTGGGGTTTGTAGAAAAAATAGTTGTTCTTTTAACAGTCAATCATTTTTTCTGATGGACAAAGTAATACTAGAAGGACAAGTAATTAAAGTGTATCAAAATTAAATACTTGAAGGACAATCCAAAATTCATGAAATTACATTGATATGTTCCAAACTTAGACAAATATTTGCAACACATTTGTCAGGAAAACAAGAAATTTGGGCAAAGGTGCTGAGAAGGTTATTCACCAAGCAAGAAATAGAAATAATGAAAAAATATGTATATTTTTTGTCTTTTTTGTTTTTATCGGTACCAGGGATCGAACTCACGACTGCCTACTTGCAAGGCAGGCGCTTATGCCGCTGAGCTAAATCCCCAGCCCCCATGAATAAATATTTTAAAAGACATTCAATATCAAATGTGGCTGGAAGGAGCCTACAGTGACTTAACATGTCAATTGGGCAAGATAAAAATGAGTGAAAATCTAATACACAAAGATCTGAGTGCAGAGTTCATCCACATATGTTCTGCATTCTTCAGTGTTGTTCAGCTTGGCTTGAATTCTCTTACCTCACGTCCTCTCTGACCAGGCACAAAACTCTTAAAGTTTTGTAATATTTTTAATTATTTTGTTTTTTTGCAAATTGGTTTCAACAGATTCTTACTCTTTGGTACCATAATTCTACCTCTAGGAATTTATCTCCAGGTGTTAAATTAATATATATATATATATATATATATATATATATATATATATATATATGTTTATAGATATGTGTGTGTATGTGTGTGTGTATGTATGTATATATATATATATATATATATATATATATAGTTTTCAAGATTGTTCTTAGTATCCTTGTTAATATTAGTGAAAAATTGTGTAAAATTTCCAGGAATAGAAATTGTGTAAGAGATAACACTGTATGTGTGTATACATTCAGATAGATATATGTCCATCATACATATATATATACTGCTTATGGAATGTATTAGTGACCATTAAAGTGATACATATTGATGTTTGTATAAAAAAATATGTATGACATTACTCAGTGAACAAAGCAATAGGTCCTGTCTCCTTTGTGTAAACCCGGGCCAGTCATAGGCAACAACTTGTTCACAGTTGCATAGGTGGTAGTCATATCCTATGACAGGGCAATCCAAGGCAGCTGTGCCATAAAAAGCCCTGAAATGAGGCCCTCACAGTTATCACCAGTTTGTTAGCAGATCTCTGTATATGTCTCAATGAGCTCAGCTCTCAAAGCGGGCAGCCAGCTGTTGTGAGCTTCCTTACACTGGTTGTTTCCTCTCTCTTCTGGAGCCGTGGCAGATAACTATCTTCCTGCTCTGGGCTTGGTCACACTAGAACATTCTAACACACTGTTAAGGCTTTGGATTTGAAATGTTTACTTCTAAATAGATTGTTCTTTGTATTTGAAACTTATTTGGCGTCTTCAAACAGGATGATCTTAGAAGTCCTTTCAGCTGTAAGATTTTTCTGATCAAGACACAGAAGTGTTGTTGCAAGAGAATGCTTTTGGGGAGAAATAATATCTTATAGCCACATTTAAAAAGAAACAAAGGGGTAAAAACAAACACATGCAATAAAGCTTGAAAATATATTTTACTGAGATTAAGTGTATAATTCGTATAAAAATTGTTAGTGTATATTCATTTTATACAAAATCTTCTCCATTCAGTGTATGCAGCATGACCTGTTCTTGACAGAAATTCTTCATTGGAAAACTTGACTTTATCTAAAATTATACTTTAATAAGCATCTCATACCCACACTGCTAACTTTTCTCATACTTGAATATTAGCTTTTGAATTAATTTAAAATTAAGTAAAATTAAAAATCGAGACGATATTGTGCTGGCCACCTTTCTAGGCGTGACACTGTGTATGACTGGTGGCCGCTGTACTGGTCAGCAGATGTTTGGCAGATACAAAAAATGGGGCTGAGTTTTAGCTTTCAAGGTTTTCTAGTTGAGAGAACAAGATAGCAAAAACAAACATCTAAATATTAACAAAATGTGATCCAAAACAGCATAATTAAGTGCTAGGAATTTGCCATAAACAACCTAAATGAGGTTGGGTAGGAAGTTCTAGAAACCAGCAGCTGGAGGCCTCCCTGCCCACTTTGAAGTCTGAGTGGTGGCGGTGACATGTGGGGTCCCTGGGGAGAGGAGCATCTTACTTTAGAGAGTGTGTGTGTTCTGCCCGCAGGCACGGGACCCGCTGTGCTGGAGAAGTGGCAGCCGCTGCAAACAACTCTCACTGTACTGTTGGAATCGCTTTCAACGCCAAGATCGGAGGTATGGAAAAGAGACTCAAGTGCATAGAGATAGGAGGCAGGCAGGCAGCCTTCTGCTAACTGATTTCCAGAATTCTTTTTAAACAAGATGGGCATATCTTTGCATAATAATGCTTGACTGTTACTGACAGCAAAGCCACTAGGTTAACAGTCACTAAATATAGTTAGGGACCACAAGTGGAGTACCCCTAATGTGTTGCAAACATACTTTGTGCAACGGGCTTGAAGGAAAAAATGTTGCTGTACTTAATAGTAAAGATGGGAGTCTTTGATGTCTGTGCCAAAATTCTACAACTGGTACCTGGGCAGGAAGAAAGTAGCAATAGACACATCAGACCATAATATCTCTAAGGAGAAAAGCATTTTGAAGTTCTTTCAAAGCAGAGAATATATTATGTGGAGGTCCTTGTAATTATAATTAAAATGGCAAATGGTAAAATCGCCTTTGGTAGTCATATAAGGTAGCTATAGTACCACAAATATAGTCCATAAATGGATCCAGGATACACACACACATACACACACTCATTCTCTCTCATAAACTCAAACACACTTACGTTTAAAGAGCCACCCAGAGCAGTATAAATCCAAGTGTTGATAAAAATAAACTTTACTATTTGTAATCATCTTTGTAAGTGACAGCCAAGTGCCACAGTCACTTACAAAGGGAAGGAAAGTATTCTGTATAGACCCTCTGCCTGGCTTAAAAGTGTTCTGCAAGGGTCCAATAAAGGATATCGTAAGATGAGTGAAACTTCTGGAACCAGGCTGGCTTCATTGTTTCCAAAGCTCTATGCAGCTAATAATAAAAAAATTATGAAACTGTACTGCCATAAGAATTATTTAAAACATGGATTGTTTCTTTCTGGAATTTGCCATTTAATATTTTTGGTTAGTTGACCTTGGCAAACTGAATTTGCAGAAAGTGAGACCACAGATAAGAAGGCGATGGCATATAATAGCAGTGCTAAGAAAAGATTTTCTAAAATTACCTTGAATGTCAGTCACAGTAAATGTGACCTCTTTGCTTGACTTCACCCTGTGTTTTGTCCTTTGACAATTTGTTAACCAGTAATTAGCTGTACCCTGCAGTATCCGTCATGTCTTGGGTGGAGGACATGGAGATGCTAAAAAAGGAGACCATGGTTTTTCCCTGAGAAGATCAAGGGTGCAGGGGGCCATGTCCTTCCCAGGGAGAGGCATCAGGTGGCCCCAGCAGCTGCCTCACAGGCCCATCCCGGCCCTCCTACTGCTGACTCTGGAGGACCAAGGGAATGAACTTGTGACTTCACAGATGAAACGCTGACCAAGCTTCACAGCACCTGCATTGAGGAATGAACAGTTGGCGATGACTTAATATGTTCTAAGCAAGATCATGCTGAATTACAGATTTAACCCCTTAGGTCTGAAGCATGAAGGCTTGGAGTTAAATGAAGAAAAAACAGCCTGCTTTTACCTTTAAAACATAACAAAATGGTGAAATCCTTACTTGTGAATCTCCAATCAGAAAGTCATGGGCCTCTAAGTATGATTTAGCAGATGTTATTTTTCATGTACTTTGTATAAAATGCATATAACGACTGACTGAAGTGTTGTGGTGATAATCACATGTTGGCATTTGGAGATAGCAGGAACATTATCTGGGATAGACCTTGCTCTGCTGGTCAAATCGTTTCACTTTATGCCTGTAAGTGAGAAGTAAGATGAAGCAGTTCATGTAACCACTTAAGCACATGCAGATCTATTTTGAATATTCATATTAAATTGAAATATGCCAGGAGCTACTCAGTACCTAGCATGAGCAGAGTAGTGTCCTGAATTTTCTCCAAAATAAACTTTCTCAGTATAATTTGTGTTCCATAAATTTTAGAGATTTGTTCACAACTTTAATTCTCTACATCACCTGTCAACATACATCTTCCTTTAAAAGTCAGAAAACAAAATTTTGCAATAACTGAGCAGTATGTGCAAACTGTTATATATCACATATCTATAGATATATCGACAGATAGATAGATAGATAGATAGATACCAGAAGTCTAGAGGAAGAGACAGGAGACATAAAAACCACAGGCAGCATCTTTAGAAAGACAGTGTTTGGAGAAAGTTCACTGTTGGCTGGATGTTGTAAGGGCTTATTTCCTTTTTTTGTAAAACATATTAAAAACTGGTATCTGTCATGGAATTTAAAGAGTTCAACCTAATGTCTGGTTTTAGATGGCAAAAATTAGGCAAAATTGAACAATTATTGAATATTTGATGTAGATGTACTCATTGTTCATCCTGTTTTTCTTTATTTGAAAATTTTATAGCTAAATTTTTTTTCACAAGCACAGAAAAGAAACCCAAATTATAAATAAAGAGGAAAATTAAAGACAGACAGTAGGAAGTAGGGAGACAGATTTACAGAAGGTCCTACTATTTAATTTCTGTCTGTTGATAACTAGTGAAAAGCTGAAGTCCTACTGTAATAACAAGATTTTAAAAGGAGTAAGTTTGCCCTGTAAAAGACATAATATTTTAATGATGGTATGTAGTTTAAGCTGAGGAGAGTTATGTTCACCTGACAATTAAATAATTTATTGTTGTGAGTCTCCAAAATAAAAGGGAAAAAAGAAAGCCTGGCTTTTTCCTGTTTTGTTTTGTTTTGGGGTGTGTGTGTGTGTGTGTGTGTGTGTGTTAGGGATCAAACCCAGTGCCTTTTGCATGCAGGGCAAGAAATCTACCACTGAGCCACATCTCCAGCCCAAGCCCAGGGCATTTGCACTGAGCCTACATCCTCAGCCCCTTTTAGAAAATTCTTATATGTGTCCCTGCTGCATTGCTGCAGCTAGGCTTGAAACTGATCTTCCTGCCTCAATCTGCCTTACAGAATGCTAGGATTGCAGGCATGTACCCCACCACTCCTGGCTCAGCACAGAATTCATTTCTGAGAGTCTTCATGTCTACTTCAGGGTTCATGATAAATTTCTGTCTGTCTTGTAGGAATCTACTTAAATGAAGATTAATGACTAAACATTGCTAAGAACACTTTGAGGACTGTTTGAAGTGTTAAATGCATTCCCATTTATTATTTGACTTGTAAATAACTTCACAAAAAATAAAGTTTACATCAATCTTCAGATTAAGAGCTAATATCAAATGTAGAGGAAATGAGACCAACTCAACTCGGCAGCTTTCCCAAATGTGTAAGACTGCTGAGGCTAGACTATTGTACAGCAACTCGGGGTGCAAGTCATTCACTAGGAAGCAATTTGGGGAAGGTGGATTGCTTGAGAATCTCTCCACCTAGTAGTTGCTTAAGAGAGGGATGAAGAGAAGGGATAGATTATGGCAAGTATTGTAAGAGTTAGGAGCTTGGAGCTTAAGACCTTGGGTTAAAAGTTTGGAAGAAGCTTTTCGCTTTTACATGCAATATGACTTCTTTGCTTTCTGAGATATCTTCTGAAAAGTGTACATTATCCTTTTACCAGGGAAAATGTGCTGTTTGTAGATTAACAATATACATTTTTACCCTCTGCAGCCTCACGGCGGGCTTTCCTGGGTGTCACGCAGCGGAGCTCCTGCCCTGAGCTCGCCATCCCTTCTGTCTTGCAGGGGTGAGAATGCTGGACGGAGATGTCACAGACATGGTGGAAGCCAAGTCAGTCAGCTTCAACCCCCAGCATGTGCACATATACAGTGCCAGCTGGGGCCCGGACGACGACGGGAAGACCGTGGACGGGCCAGCTCCCCTCACCCGGCAAGCTTTTGAAAATGGTGTTAGAATGGTAGGTTTTACGAGCACCAAGGCTTATCTAAGGTGACGATTCTCCGTAGAGAAAGTGTAGACATCCCATCCTCCAGGGCGGAGGAACGTGTGGAGCTGGCGGGCTGAGCCGGCACTAACAGAAAGTTAGTGGAACCACTTGGCATCGTTAGTAGTCTCTGTTCTCGATGCACTAGGAGCTGGAGAACGCCTCTGAGAACAGAGGTGTATTCCCGGGCCTAGGGGCTGTGTTCATTAACATGTCAATCTTGCATTTAGAACAGCAAATTCGTGGGGCTGAGAGATTGAGTGTAGCTGCCAACACTTTCGCATCATCCAGCACTGAACCCCTCCTTAGTCTCCCCTCTCTCCCAGCACAATGCTCTTCTTTCTCCTGGCTCCCAGTCTCCCTAAACAGGTGGGTATCTCAATCCATCATCATTTTCCTGATTTTTGCTGAGATTCACTGCTCATTCTCCTCCAAAAAACTGACTGCATCATTTAATGTAAAAAAAAAAAAGTGTCTATTTTGAATTACAGGTTTAAAAAACTCTTGTCTGATTTAAAGTAAATAAAAGTAAGACTGCTGATACTTTTAATGAGGAAAGGCAGAGAAGCACGCCATTAGCGATGTTTTTCTTTTTCTTATTCCTGAGTGGACCTTTGAGTGCTTAGAGCTTACATTAAAACTTGTTCGCTGCAGGTGGTCACTGATCTGGCCCACACTGCCCTTCCTTCCTCATCTCTTCCCATCTCTGTGCCTTGTGAGCCTGCCCTACCCTTCCTACCTGTCACACACCCTGCCTTCCCTGTGAACCCCTGCTCCGTCCACTACACCCACTGCTGCCAGAGCTCCTTTGACCTTCAAGCCTCAACTAAAAGGTCAACTTTCCCCACGAATGTCTCACTGCCTAGATTAGAATTAACCACAAGCAAACTTAGGCTCCTCATTCTTTTTGTTGCTGCATGGTCCTTACCACATGTTCTTGATAGCAGAGTTAGTTCTGGGTGAAACTTTCTCCCTAAATTTTAAATTCCTAGAGAGCAGAACTGGTGCCCTACCTGTCTGTTTGGGCTTGGCAAAACCTACTGAAATTTTAGTAAGTACTCAGTAATGTCTGCTGAATCCAGTCTCTTGTATGACAAATGATGCTAACCACAGAGTTGTTAGGTATTCAGCTGAGATGTAAAACTGCAGGATGCTGTAAATTGATTAATGGGAACAAAAATGACAGTGTATCTCACATCTTTATAGGATAGGGTTAGAGGTGATAGAAGTCTGAACTAAGCTGCCTCTTGGCTATTCTGAAATAACACTAGAAGAAAAAATAACAGACATTCTTCATTTAAAGATCCAGTGTAGTCCAGTGACTAGGTCATTAAGTGAGTTGGTCACCAAGTGAATTCTATATGGTACATATATTAAAATATTCAGAATAAGAAAATGGTCAAAGAAAACTCCAACTTGATAACTTTGCTTTAATTTGCATAATTCTTACATGCAGTACTATAATGTGTAACAGAACATAAAACTAGTACTATACAGTACAATTAGCAAAAGCTACAATTCTATATAAATAAGATATACTGTATAGGAAGACACTTATGCTGTATAGACAAGATGAACATAACTGCACAGAAAAAGACAGGTTGTAAGCCTGAAGAGTCATTAAACAGGTGGATTGTTAAACAAGGAATATCTGTGTATATTTGTTTTGTAGTCATTCCTAAGTAATAGTTTGGGTTTGGTGAGGACATGCGCTTTTCCAGCTCTGTTTATTTTCAGCTACTTTAGAGCCCTCTAAATTGTAGGATAATGTTTTAACTTGCCTAGAATTTCCCTTTCAAAGTGCCTTAAAACCAATAATCTGATGACTTCATTTTCAAAATGATAGACTATAAATTACTATTTTTGATCCCAGTGCCAGTAATGGACTTATCATTCAAGTTAGTTAAGTAAACCAACCTCCTTCTATTTTACCTCAAATTTTTTATGTACAACACTTATAATAAAAGAGAAATATGAAATTTTTCATTGATAGAGAAATACATATATTCACGATGCACATAGCCTTGTGAGTATACATTGCGTGTGAAGGATGCCCCATACCCAACAACTAGTGTTATTAATAGACTAACAGGACTGCTGCTGAAGTAGGCAACATAAACCAAATGTTCCTTAATTCATTTTTGCTGGAGAATAGATCATCCAGTGGAAATCTTAACTGGGATCTTAATGTGTATAGTAAATTTGGTTGAAAGAAGAATTTAAAAAAAAAACAGTGAAAGTTAGAGACCACATCAAGAAAACCATTAAAACACATAGGAACAGTGTATTTAGAAATAAGTGATGAGGAAAAATTACTCTGTACTCATTAATTATAAAGTAAAGCTCTGCTTATTGTGCTGGAACATACACAAAAATGTGTGAAGACGATATATAATAGATTTCTCCATCCAACTGGTTAGGCATTGCTAACAGTAAAGCCTGAATCTTTCCACACTCTTGCAAACATTAGCATATCAGCTGGGAACATATTATACCTCTGCACATTGGTTTTATAACTAATGATTTCCCATGGGCATCATTCTAGGGATTTTGAAGTTTAGAGATGCTATAATTAGAGGCTGAGGGTTTAGCTCAGTGGTAGAATGCATACTTGGTATGTATGAGGCCCTGAGTTCAATCCCTAGCATAGAGTCAAGTGGGGGGATCATTTATTTGATACTTCATCGAGAATCTTTCAAAGTTTCAATCTAAATGTATTTGGTTTTAAGGTGAAACATTAATGTTTACAATTGGGCTAGTAAATACAGAAATAAGTCTCAAAAAGAGCAGTTTATTTTTGGCTGTAATCATTGCTCATCTAAATATGGGGAAAGCAGTGTGGCCCCATCGAAGTGAAGCAGGATCCCTTGGTCAGCGTTGCAGGTATTGAGCTCACAGAGGTATCCAGGCAGGCTGCGTTTGAGGACAGTGCCTGTCATTTACTTCTCTGGCTTTCTGTGGCTCGCACTCCTTCTCTGCTTCCGTTTTCTCTTCTAAATTGGGCCGATAATAAATACCACTCGGAGAGATGCTATGAGTCCTCTGGGTGATAGAATGTCTATCACAAGTGGATGTAGTCCCTGAAATACAGTAAATGCTGGATAAAGGCATTAATTTCAAAAAAATGATCACAGCTTTTCAAAAAACTGTTTAGATGTGTTTTCAGCCCCTCTCTTCTCTCTAGACCAGGTCCACCTTCAGAGTTCTAGATGAATCCATTGCGTTTCTCTTGGCGTGAATTGGTGGTAGCGGGGAGAAGCCTGCACTAGGGCAGACTTTCTGAACTTTGCAGTGTTTTGTACTTTCTTCTTGGTAGCGGGGAGAAGCCTGCACTAGGGCAGACTTTCTGAACTTTGCAGTGTCTTGTACTTTCTTCTTGGTAGCGGGGAGAAGCCTGCGCTAGGGCAGACTTTCTGAACTTTGCAGTGTCTTGTACTTTCTTCTTGGTAGCGGGGAGAAGCCTGCACTAGGGCAGACTTTCTGAACTTTGCAGTGTCTTGTACTTTCTTCTTGGTAGCGGGGAGAAGCCTGCGCTAGGGCAGACTTTCTGAACTTTGCAGTGTTTTGTACTTTCTTCTTCCCCTGTCTATACAGACCTGAAATATATGTAATGTATTCCTTGCCCTTGAAAAATCATCGTCCATCACTGTACAGAATTCATTTCAATTTTCCATGTTCATGGTCATGAATTCAGCTCTTATTTTCCTGAAACGTGTTTCTCTAAATATGTATGAATATATAATGTATCACTGTGAAACAGAATATTAGCTCGTCTCTTCCAGGAATGTGGAACCTTTCCCTACTTTGTTATCAAGCACGAAGTGAGGTACTACACTTTGTATTCTTTGAGATCATTCTAATTTATTTCTGTACATAATGCACATTGTCAAACATATAGAAAATAGAGTAAATACACAAAGTCAGATTTAAGAGAGTAACAAAGAAATACATAAGTGGTGAATTGACTGAGTAGCTTAAGGGATGGAGGAATAAATGACTGAAGAAGCATTCTCTTCTGTTAGCTATGCAAAAATTTTCATGACAGCCAGAAGTCACTCTGGGCTGTTGAGGTTTAGCAATCTTCTGCAAAATGTCAGGACCTGGAAGTTATTTATTCCTCCTGTTAAATTCAGTGAACACCCGACTTTCTATTTCCTCTAGATAAAGAGGTGAAGAAGACGTGAAGTTTATATGTGGTTCTTAAAAAGCACTGCATTCCCCTAACAAGTCAGAAAGCAATCACTCATACAGACTATTAGAATGATTTCAGCTGAGAGTAACTGTAATGAGTGAACTGAAATTGGTGTTTGCAGGAAGACTGAGCTGCAAGGCATCCTTTTTGAGGTGCTGATAACCGAACAGCGACACTCAAGATTATTCTGGGTAACTCATGTGAACTCTATGGCGAAGGAACAGAAAGACCAAGACCCCTGTGGAGGAAAAGTTTGCTGTCTCTCTGGAATAAAGTGCTAACTTGGGCATGGGGAGCAAAATGAACAGAAAGGGAACAGGAAGAGATGGGCTGCAGAAGTGTGCAGGCTTTTCTAAACCGGGGGGTAGGGAGGAGGCTTCTTCTGTAACCGAGAGAAATGGTTTTAGATACAGTACCTAGCTGACTCAATGGAAAGGTTTGTAAATTTCTGCTGTGAAGACAGGATGCTGTGTCGGGAAGGTGTATGGAGGCAGAGAGAAGATTGAGGTGGTCCAGGAGAGACAGGCCTGGATGGCAGCAATGGAGTGATGACCAGAGAGATCAGGCAGCTGGAGAGAGAAGCTCAGGTATCAAGAAAGATTTTCACAGAGGCAATAAATACATTTTGCTTGAGGGGTCCACATATTGATTGCATCCATTTCTTGTGCTTGCTAATCAAAAATGCAGCAAATATTGAATCTCAAAATGTTCTCTATTTGTTTGCTGTAAGGTAAGAGTTTGACTCAATAGAATGTAACACTGCTTTCAGAGACTTAACAAA